AAAAATAAGAACCAAGAGAGATTATGTAAAGGTGCAAATTTCCAATGGTGAATGTCATTATATTGTATACCTAAAATGTACCAATAAAATAAAATTTAAGAAAAATATTTAAATATTGCACTTATCTCTAAATGCATATATATGTAATTTTCTGAGACTTGAATTCTTATAACAATCTTGTATGTAGTATTTTTCCACTAGTCATTTTCCAAGCATCTTCGACATGTGAAAGCAGGTGTGATGAACGGGAGGGTAGTAATCTGGGATGGAGACGTCTCTCTCTCCCATGGGTCTCTGTCACGCCTGAGAGAACTGATCTATAATGAGAACACAGGATGTACACCTCCTGCATCTCCTCTCTAGAAGTAGGACCTTAACATCTGTTTTGTGCATGTCAAGATAACACCACACATTCCTGTCCTGCTACTCCGAACAAAAGTTTGAGCATACAATGCATTATGGTTAATCATAAAGTATTGAACACCAAAGCTGTAGAGCTTATTCAATTTCATGACCAAATATTTATGTCCATGTATTAGGCATTCCCCATTCCTCCCTCGTCTAAGCCCATAGCAACTTGCATTTCACTCCTTGATTCTAATAAAGTGACTGTTTTTGACACTTTTTATAGTGGAATCATCCAGCATTGTTCTTTCTGTGACTGGATTATTTCATGTGCTATAAAGTCTTCTGGGTGTATCCATGTGGCTGCATATTGCAGAGTTGCCTTATGTGTGAAGGCTGTATAGTATTCTACTGTATGCTTTCAGCATAGGTTTTTTTTCCCCCTTAATCTGTTGATGGACGTATAATTTGTTTCCATATCTTGGCTCTGGTATATAGTGCTCCTATGGACATAGGCATGCCGATACCTCTTTGAGATCCTGATTTTAATTGTTTTGGATAAACACTCATAAGGAGTATTGAAGTACAGTGGTTCTATTTTCAATTATTTGATTTAATATCTGATCTAATAGTCTTCTATAATGTCTGCATCACTTTGTACTCCCAACAATATTGTATGAGGCTTCCAACTTCCAGTTGTCTTTTGTTTCACTTTGTTTTTAATAATAGGTATCCTGACACTCATGGATTATCTCAATGTGGTTTTGATCTGCAGTTTTTCATACTAAGTAACATTGACCATGTTTCATATGCTTGTTGGCCACTGCAATGTCTCTTTTAGAAAAGTATCTATTCTAATCATTAACTTATTTTCTTACCAGGTTATGTTTATTTTTGGGTTTTACTTTGTAGTTTACTATTGACTTTTTTACTATTTCTAAGCGTTCTTGATATATTTTGAAGATTAACCCTTTAATGGATATATGATCTTTATATATTCTCTCCTTTTTTATAATTTGTCTTTACACTGTGTTGATTGTTTCCTTTGTTGTACAGAGCTTTTTAGTTTGACATAAGCCCACTTGTTTATTTTTGTTATTGTTGTTGTGTACTGGTGTCATATCTAGGAAATTGTTGCCAAGACCAATGAAGCATTATCTCTGAGTTTTCTTCTAAATATTTTGGATCCAGGTCTTAAGTCTTTCACATCTTTAAATCTTTAATCCGAGATTAGTTGATGAGGTGAGTAGGTGAGTCCAATTTCATTCTTTGGTTGTGAATATCCATTCTTCTCAGCAGTATTCATTGAAGAGAATGTGCTTTCCCCAGCGTGTATTCTAACATCCTTGGTGCAAAGCAGCCAAATTTAAGTGTGTATTCATTATTCATTTATAGGCTCTTCATTCTACTCCATTTATATGTATGTCTTTTAATGCCAACATCATAATGCTTTGCTTACTGTAGCTTTGTAATATATTTTGAAATCAGGAATTACGGTATATACAGCTTTGTGCTTCCTTGTTAACAGTGCTTTAGCTATTAATGCTCTATGGTGATTCTGTATGAATTTTAGAATTATTTTTTTATTTCTCTAAAAAATTATTAAAATATTGATGGGCATTGGACTAAATCTGCAGATTATTTGCATAGTTGCATTTTTTTATCAACAACAAGTCTGTCATTCCATCAACATAGATATCTTTACATTTGTGGAGTGGGGGTATTTTCATCAATGTTTTGTGGTTTTCAGTATACACATAAATCACTGGTCTAGTTTAAGTTTTATTTTAAACTAGGTGTTTTATTCTTTTGGATGCTCTTTCAAATAGATTTTTCTCTTTAATTTTCTCTTATAGTTGTTTATTGGTAGTGCACAGACACACAAATGATTTTTGTGTTAGTCTGACTTCTTTTAGGGCAGAACCACATGTCTTATTTTTATTTACCATATTAATACACGAGTAATAATTAGCTGCTATTAATCTTTGTTCAGTAGTGTGTTTTAATTTTGTTTCATTGGCGATAATCTTCATCTTTTGTCTCTCTGTCTTTTCTACTTTAGGGCTGTGCTAGTTCAACAGCTTCTCCTCCAGTCGCCACCCCTGTCACAGGACATAAAAGAATGGTCATCCCCAACCAGCCCCCTCTCACGGCAACCAAAAAGTCTACAGCAAAACCTCAGGCTGCACCCCAGGCTGGGCCCATCCCTGTGGCCCCCATTGGGACTCTCAAGCCGCAGCCTCAGCCAGTCCCAGCCTCCTATACCACAGCATCCACCCCTTCAAGACCTACCTTCAATGTGCAAGTGAAGTCAGCCCAGCCCAGCCCTCACTACACGGCTGGCCCTTCATCAGGACAGATTTATGGCCCTGGGCCCCATGGCTATAACACTCAGCCAGTGCCTGTCTCTGGGCAGTGTCCACCTCCTCCAACCCGAGGAGGCACAGATTATACGTATGTTCCACCACCAGGACTTCAGCCCGAGCCTGCGTATGGTTATGCCTCCAACCAAGGACGCTATTATGATCCTTATTATGCCACAGGGCCAGGGTATGGGGGCAGAAATGACTCTGATCCTGCCTATGGTCAACAAGGTCACCCAAATACCTGGAAGCGAGAACCAGGATACACTCCTCCTGTGGCCGGGAACCAGAACCCTACTGGCATGTATGCAACCACTGGTCCCAAGAAGACCTACATCACTGACCCTGTTGCAGCTCCCTGTGCTCCACCAGTGCAGTCGAAGGTAAGAAATTCATCAGCATATCGGGGAGGCAGAGTGCTTACCTGTCTGCCTTCCCCAGACAGTGACAGAGGAGCTAAAGGCAACACTGCGTGTGCTTCTCTTTTGTTCTGTGAACAAATACAACCGCAGGAAAATAAGTGAAGTAGGATAAAATGCAGATCCTATTTGCAGATACATTATGAATATGGCTACTCTTTGTTAACAGTGCAACTCACTGGTCAATTTTGAAACATTTTCTTCCAACATACCATATGAATCTTAGTATATCAAGAAAATATGTGTTGGGCGAGGGAGGGAAAACAGTTTGTCTTCCGTCTCATGCATCCTGCTGATCACAGCATCCCTCCATGGCGAAGGAGCTTCTCATACGCATTGCACTGGCTTAGATACTAAGCAAGTATGCAGCATCTTATGCTTCAGCAGATACAGGGCATTTCCTGTGTATAAGTGAGAAGCATGCAGGGTGCTTCTTGGCTGAGCTGCTTGCTGTCAAGCTGTGCTCATTCGGAAGTGATCAGAGCTCAGAGCATGGTGGTCCTGCCATACTCCTTGGTTAAACAAGTGGCAGAGGACTTGGTGACCAGAGACGCCAAGAGGGCCAAGGTAAGGCAACACATCAGACAGTCTCCCTCGGGAAAGGGTAGCAGTGTACAGGAGCTTGTTTGCTGCGTCTTATTTCTTCATGTTCTGATCCTCCAGGAAAACTATTCCTCTTCTGCTTTGCACCCTATCTATGGGTGATGGTTACCTTGTGGTATTTGGCCTAATTGTCAGTATTATATGGATGTCTTTTAAGTCAACACAGTTACTTCTTCTGACTGCATGAAATATAATACTACATATCCTGATCTTTAAAATTTAATTTTAATTAATGTATGTGTAAACTTAAAACACTGGAATGAATAATTCTGTTAGGAAAAAATTCATATTGACTTGGAACAATTTGGGTATATTAATCTCTACTTTCAGTGGTTAATTTTATGAAATCTAAGTACCCATCAAGTATTTCTAATGAACAATTAGCATCCAAATTGAGACATGCCATAAGATTGGAGTATGCCTCAGATTTTGAAGACTTAATACCAGAAATAATCTTATTAATAATTTTACATTCATTTTATATTAAATAATATTTTTGTTATACTGAATTAATAAAATATATTATCAAAGTTTAAAAAATGAGGGCCGGGGATTTAGCTCAGTGCTTTCGCCGCCTGCTGCGCAAGCACAAGGACCTGAGTTCGATCCCCGGTACCAAAAAGAAAGTTTAAAAAATGATACTATGGATCCGTGCTCACTACAGTTCAGATTTTCCGTTAGTACTCGAACGAACCCCATGTTGTTTCCTCCCACCATTGCAAGAGAAAGCTATGGGAATTTCTTGGAAAAAGTGACATGAAAAACTGAACCAACTTCCAGCCACTGCATTGGAACTAAGTCCTCCTTTCCTTTTAGTTGGAGCTATCAGATATCAGAAATTTGAGAGCCCTTGATTAGTTTAAAGGTAATTTTGGGGAATGGATTAGAGTGTTAGGTTCGGCTGTGTGTGTTTTTTTAATCCCTTTCCATATTTTTAACAAGATTATCAATTTCAGAAATTGTAACCAAACAATCCTACAGGGTTTTGAATAACAGTTTCTGCTTCATTCATGGAGCTCCAAATGAACATCAAGTTCCTTAAGGGTATAGAGCTGCATTTGAAGAGGGAAGGGATCCACTAACCTCATTTGTGCCCATGGGATTACAGGTGTGCACAACCATACCCAGCAGCCTGTCTCTTTTGATAGGAGAATTATGGACAATTTATGTTTAGAGATATTATCAAATGTTATCTAACAATTTCTGTCATGTTGTTCTCTAATACTTGATTCTTTCCTAATTCTCAGTAGCTTATCTACTCTTCTTCTGTGTGTAGGGTTCCTTTAAGTATCTTTTCCAATCCTGGTTATAATGTACTTGAGACAGTGAGCAATTTCTACTCCCAAGACCAAATAATTACTTCTGTATTAATATTATCCTTAATAGTAAAATTAGATTTAGCTCCATTTCACTTCTGGGTGTCAGAAGTGTGTAAGTGCAACCTTACATGACAAGTCGGCCAACCATGATCATTTTCCAACATACAGATTCCAAGTTACAATTCCAAATGATTTTTGCAACATGCTCTGTTTCTACAGTCTCCTTATGAAAAAAATGTTTTGAAAATAAATGGTTTGTATTTGTCTGATATATAGTGAACTACACAGCCTTCCCTTGTGTTAATATCACAGAGAAACAGTTTGGAAGATAGAAAAATTGGTTACTTGACTAAATTTACCTCACTTTTGTACAACTGTAGCAAATAAAGATTACGGTAAAAGTTTAGGTTGGGACAATGCTCTCAAGATTTATGTTCTAATAGGAAACCAGTTTTTGCTTGGCCAAAAAAGCCTGCCTGGAAGGATAACTAAGTGATATTCCTAAGGGAAAAACAGAGTTCATCTCTGAGTTTTCTTGTGAGTGCTGTTAGCCCACATGTGGAACCGGACATGATAGAAAACAAAAATGTGTCTACTGGGACGGAATTATCTGGTGAGAAGTACAGAGCTACTCTTCAAATGCTCTGTTGTCCAGTTATACATGGAATACTCTGGACATTCATGTTCGGGATTTGGAACCACTCCACTGGAAAGGAAAAAGAATGCCCATTGCAAAGCCTGCATCTAAGATGCTGAGATCAGTTGCATTCTTAGCACTTGGTCTGTCCTCACCAGCTACTTAGGGTGATGGGATGGATTTCTATTACCCACTCACCAGAAGCCATGCAACTTTACATTGCTCCTATTTGAGTGAGGTAATTATCCAAAATGACTTATTACATTATTACAGAACTTAGACATCAATAGATTCCATGCCACTTTCAAAATTTTGAAATGTGTGCTTTTCAACAGTACCATGTGTTTTCACGTCATGTTCAATTGTGCATTTTAAAAATGAAAATCAAATTATGTACTTTTCTGTTATGATTATTAAGGTGAGTGATTAGGGGTTGATATTTAGCCATCTGCGTGTGCTTTGAGAAAGGGGAAGACACAGAGCTACGGGACGTGTTCTGTGTGTAGAGCACGAAATGAGGGAGTGGGCTCCTTCACAGTGGATCTCGGAGCAGAGCACTGCTGTACGCAGTCATCCTCCACACAGAGGGCCCCCTGTTCTCTACTGGCTTATGTGGCTTAGTGTCACGACTGCAAGTTTGAGGAATGAGTTCCCGCTAGTTTTTATCCCATTTCCTCCTCGACATTCCTCTTTCAACTTGAGGAAAACCACTAGACCTCTGTCTGCCATACTTTCAAACTCAGGAAAGGGAAACATCGTCTTCACTAATTAATTAATCAATGATTGCAAAGGGCTTGGAAATTTCCAAGGATTGAATAATTGCCAAGCGAGGGCCATTCAGCTTTCCCACTGGCTTTATTTCTAATTTTATAGTAACCAATGGAAAAGTTACCTTTACGTCTTTAAAAAATAATATTTTATCACACTGAGAATTTCTGGGAAATTTGCCATTAAACTCACTGAGGAAAAAATTTTTAAGAAAATATAAAATACATCTTGCCTATATTTCAAGTTAGCTGCTTTAATTTTCCTACATTGTGGTGTTATAAAGGAAGAGTGAGAAGGATTATATTTGTGTTCCCATAATGTGCTGAGCTGTGAATTTGCATGCTACAGTAGGCCATAATGTGTTTCCTGTAACATCTGAGTTGAGTTCCTTGAAAAATATTGTTATAAGCAAGTCTTTAAAAGGGAGAAATGTTCCTTTCTCACTGGAAATCCTTTTTTAAGATGCAGTAGAATCTTTGTGCTGATTTGTAAACACAAGTGTTAATTCTAAGTTCCTCTGTTGTTCACAGAACGTTTGTCCTGTACATTATTTTCACTTTCCTGTGAATAGAATGTGTATTTTCTGTACTATTTGGTTAAGGACTCTCAAGTGCGACTTTAGTGCCATTTCTATATCATAAAACCAGGTCTAGGCTAGTCCTCAGCTTTGTTCTGGAGACAGTACGGTGCAGGCAGTTTGTGGTGCTGTGCACCCTAGAAAACACAGAGAGTTCACCCCACTCAGTGTGGGGGATACACTGAATTCTTACAGCATTTATCATGAAAACTCCTTGGAAAATCATTAAGAATGATGAGAACGTAAAGATCAACACACCATCTCTCGGGAAATGTAACACCAAGTGTTTTTGCTCCAGAGTGAGAGCAGACCATTGCTTTTCATTTGAATTTGAGGTTGAGGGGAAAATTTTGTGGTTCAAAGAGGAACTATTGGAGTCACTGCTAAAGGGACTCCCCGACTGTCATTTTTGTTAAGATTAAAAACATAGTTGAGACTGTTAATATAGTAACATTTTGTACATCATGCTAGAGTCAGGATATTTAAAGTTTTTCAACATATATATTGGGTGTATTGCAAAGAATGGCAATTGAAAGAGAACCATCTTTATGGTAATCTCCGTGCTAAACATCTCCATTGTAGAGTTAGAGCAACAAAAAAGAATTGTTAAGATAGGCAGAGAGATGGATACAGACTTACGCCTCAGGTCCATTGTTAATACCTGACTTTGTGTGCTGGATGAGAATGAAAGCGATTACTTGAGTGGGCCAGAGGCAGTAATATTAGTAATTACTCTTTGGACAGAACTTTTCGATTTTCAACTCGAATTATTAATTATTAATCGAAAATTAATGGACTTTACATAGAGTCATGAGCAGTACGCACACATAGAGGTTTTTATCTCTTACTGATCTGGGTTCAAAAGCTCAGCCATGAGTCCCTCACCTACAGCCACAGGTCAAGTTCCTGGGAGAGCCACAACTCCAGGTCAGATCTTCTAGACATTGTCACTGTCCCTATTCCTCTCCCGTGGCAATTCACCAGATGTTTGTGTGATTTAGGGTCTGGGTGACAGGAAGTCCAGGTCACCATTATGGTCCAGGGCTCGGCACTGTGGAGA